GCTGTCATGGGTTCCCCATGCCCCACTCCTGCATCTCTGGTCCTCTGTAGATCAGAAAGGACATTCTGAACTCATATGGGCTCTTTAACTAATTTAGATCAGTGGCAGGAGCAGTTTCTTGCTTTATGTACACTTTGTCTCTTGTATTATTATTATTATTATTATTATTATTATTATTATTATTTTGATTTTGATTTTTTTAGTCAGGGTTTCTCTGTGTAGCTTTGTAGACTAGGCTGGCCTTGAATTCACAGAGATTCACCTGCCTCTACCAGGGAGTAAAGAAAGGTGTGCGCCACCACCACCCAACGAAAGCAGGTATTTTTATCAGGATTAATAGTTTTGGTCTATGTAAAAGGATGCATTATCAAGACAAATTGTTCCCTCCTTTACACTATAAAATTTGATAGCCCCTTTCAGAAACTCTAATAATAGATTTTACAAAAAATCTAATATAAAAATATATAGTTACCTAATTGCTTCATATAAATTCTGATTTTCTGAGCCTTCCAACTGGCTGAAAAATTATTTTTTGCCAGGATCTAAATTAATTTTTACAAGAAACAAAATTTCCAATAAATAGTGCATGATTTTAAGACACCTTAAAGCATATTTTAATTAAAATATGAAACTAATGCATCATTTGAGGCATGAGACTTGATGATGAGTATATGGGGATTTACTGGTCTTTCTGCATATGTGCTTAATTTTTCACAAGGAAAAAAAAGAAAGTTTTAACCTATTATTTTGTAATCTATTCTACTTTTTGGTTTCATATTATTATCTGTTCCTCTATAAAATCTACTTTTTGTTTTATGTTTTACTCTAATCCACTATTTTAACAGTGTTTTGGGACAAAATCTCTAGATGCTTAGCATTAATAACCTAATCATAGGACACTAATCAAAGAGGCTACAAAATTCTTAATCCTTCTTTTTTTTTTTTTTTTTTTTTTTTTTAGGCTTTGAGAGAAGGTCTTGCAATGTGGCCTGCATCCACAGTGCTAGGATCACACAGTACTAATATGCCCAGCTAGGGATTCCAGGATGAGTCACATGGACAAAGGTTCATAGTTTGTGAGTTTTAAGTTAAGAGGCAAAAAGCAAAGTGTGCTCTTTTCCTTAGGTACCCTTTAGTTCATTTGTTTTTGAGATAGGGTCTTCCTATGTGACCAAGGCTGGCTGTTCCTAGTGGGTACCTTTTAGTTTGTTTCTGAGATAGGGTCTTCCTATGTGGCCAAGGCTGGTTGGAGCTCATTAGCCTCTTGTCTGTCTTGTGAGTGCTGGGTTTGCTGGTATACCCCACCATGCCTGGCACAAATGGTTATGTTTGTCTGTCATCTCTTACCTGCCCCCTAACATCTAAGAGCCTGCAGATATCTTAATTATCTTCATACCTAGAGTCAGACATCACAGCTATTACTTAATACTTGTAAAATAAATGTAATGGCAATATTTACACTAAAATACACATTCTAAACCATGATGTGTTAAACCAGTGGAAAGTAGTATTTCTATAAATAATTCTAATTTATATTTTTCTGTGTTGTTCAATAAAAGACAGTAAAAAAAAAAGTTTGCTCTCCTTTACCTTTCATATTTACAATCTATAATTAAAGAAGAAAAATAGTACTAAGTCCTCTGTCCTCTGCTAGAACAAGTATTTCAAATTACTATAGGTACTTTCACTTATAAAACTAAGTCACCTTGGAACAGGAGAAATGGCAGAGTGGTTAAGAGCACGGGCTGCTCTTTCAGAGGACCCAGGTTCAATTCCCAACACTCATATGTGGCTCAGGAATTACCTATCTGTAACTCCACTCCTAGGATTTTTGACATGTTCTTCTGGCCTGCATGGGCACCGGACACACATGCAGTGTACAGTCATACACACAGGTGAAACACTCATACACATAAAATAAAAAAAAAAATTTAAACCTAAATCATCTAGTTTGGGAGAATATAAGAACTGATCATGAAATACTTGGGGAACTTTACCCAATATAAGACCAATG